CCATTGGCCACAGCGCCTACCCAATTTTTGAACTTGAATCAATAACCGGTGCTCAACCCTCCGCTTGACGCACACCCCCAAAAACTCTTACAGAGTTTAAGCGGCAAAGCCACCGCGATACAAGCCGTAGGGACTCTGCATGACTTACAACCATGCAGAGGTGGTAACTGATGGTTATCATTGGCTCCGACGCCTACCCAAAACATTTTTGCTTTAATAAATTTTTATGCAAATACATTCATCCTGGTCCTGCCCTCACACTGAGTTAATCAGTCGCTCATACATGTTTCACAATAACATATGAAGACACTGTCGAATAATTGAAATCAAATCATGCATCAAATTTATGCATGTCAGCACATGCGACATGTCAGCATTATTAAGTACATTTTTTATACGGGAAGAGATTTTGTAATTTTTTTAAGTACCTATTATAGTAAAATGCATTAAAGAATTGTCTAATTAAAAACCAGTATACATTTTCATCCAAGGCAGGATCAAACAGTATTAAAAATATGCTACAGGAGCACAACAGCGAACAACAGCTTAGCTGAGTAGCAATGCCATGCTATAACATTAAGTTTGAGATGCAATGACATGGCATAACATCTTGTTTGAGTTGACATGACATAGCAATGCATGAAATTTTTGAAAAAGACATTTTTACAGAAAATATTGAATTTTGCAATTCTTTAATATACAAACACTGGACATTGCAAAATCTGATTTAAAAAGTAATTGCTAAGCATGTAACAGGGGTAAAAATAGCGAAATAGATTTAATAACAAGTAATTTTTAGGCAAAAAACACAACCGACATCAATTCTCAGAATAAAAATTTAGGAGTACCGTTAATATCTTAATGATGCAATTATCGGTTCTAAACCAAATTAGTATGGGATCACTCTAAAAGCATGAACAGACGGCAGCGTTAATCGGGATCAACTCGTTAATTCGGAATTATCTCGGGAATTAAGTGCAGTTGATCCTAATTAAGTCCTAGAGTTAATTCCCAAACTTAACTCGGATCAAGGGAATTTTCGATGACAACACTGACCAAAACTCAGAGAGTGTAGAACACAGGGTAAATGCAAAATTAGCAGGGACATATACCTTTTCATCGGTAATGCAGTCCCTCATACTTATTCAAATAGGAATCCAATTTAAGATGAATAAGAACTTATTTCGGTGACTGTATTACCGACGACAGGGTGGATGTCTATGCTAGTTAAGCAGTTTCTGTGTGTTCTACAGTAACTGAGCAAATAAAGCAACCGATTCCCCCATCCGCGGTAGCCGAGTGGTGAGAGCTGCGTACTACAAGCCTGTAGGTCCCAAATTCGATCCTCGGTTGGAGCGATTGCCAAAAAAATTTGTTTTTATTATTTCTTTTATTTTTCAAAATTTTATTTGGTTTATATATTTAATGGTTTTTTATTTTATTTTCGTTTGTTTTATTTCATTTCACATTTTTTATTTTATTATTGGTTAATTTAAATTTTTTGAGTTTAATTTTACTAAAAAAGTCAAAAAAGAACTAACTAAAAACAATTTAAAAAAATATAGAAGTTATAATTGAATCAATAAAAAAACATAAATGAATATTCTACTGGCCGTGGGATTCGAACATGCGATCTTGCCGCTTGTTAATCCGCATTACTGCCGTCTGTCAAGGCACAATTTCGATCAGATCAATTGCGGCGTTAATCCGGATCAACGTTGCCGTCTGTCTATGCTTTTAATTCACAAACTTAACTCGGATTAAGGGAATTTGCGATGACAACACTGACCGAAACTCAGAGAGCGTAGAATACAGGGAAAATGCAAAATTAGCATGGACATATACCTTTTCATCGGTAATGCAGTCACTCATACTAATTCAAATAGGAATCCAATTTAAAATTAATAAGAACTTATTTCGGTGACTGCATTACCGACGACAGGGTGGATGTCTATGCTAGTTTTGCAGTTTCTTTGTGTTCTACGCTAACTGAGCAAATAAAGCAACCGACTCTTTCATCCGCGGTAGCCGAGTGGTGAGAGCTGCGTACTACAAGCCTGTAGGACCCAGGTTCGATCCTCGGTTGGAGCGATTGCCAAAAAAATTTTATTTTTTTTATTCTTTTACTTTTCTAAATTTTATTTGATTTATATATTTAATTGTTTTTTATTTTATTTTCGTTTGTTTTATTTTATTTCACATTTTTTATTTCATTATCACTTAATTTAAATTTTTAGAGTTTAATTTTACTAAAAAAGTCAAAAACAACTAACTAAAAATAACTTAAAAAAATATATAAGGTATAATTGAATCAATAAAAAAAATTAAATAAATATTCTACTGGCCGTGGATTCGAACCTACGACCTCGCGGCTCGTTAGTCCGCATTACTGCCGTCTGTCAAGGCACAATTTTGATCAGATCAACTGCGACGTTAATCCGGATCAACGTTGCCGTCTGTCTATACTTTAACATACATACATATGTACATAAAAATATATCCCGCCGATTTCATTGCTTCCTGCTTTTTTGAAGTCAGTTAAAAGGTTGAATTTAAACAAATTTCGAGAATAAACTGACCATGCCCTTTAATTACCTAATTACATCACTTGAAAAGTTCTTCCAATACGTATGTATTTTTAATCTTGTAATGTAATGGGATTCAAATATATAGTCTGTAGATCAGAAATACTAACCAATTGTCTTTCAAAATATCCAGGCAAATTGCACCAGTTACTGAGGATATATTTGGATGCCAGATTTTTGTTATAAATCGTACCTGAAAAGTCAAAGAAAAAATAATAAATCAATGAAAGAGGAAAGTAATTAAAGGTTTTTCGACAGTATTTCATTTTGCATCTAGATATTTAATATACATACAGCAAAAGGCATTAGGGGCTGTCCATATATTACGTAAGACCTTTCTTACTTTTTCTTATATGGGGGGCGTCCCGTAGATTCTTACGTAATATTATTTTTCTTGTATTCTTATTCAAAATTGTTCTTTATAAAATACGGAAATTCACCCAATCAAAGTACTAAATTGCATTGAAATGAAAACTATACATTACATACGGAGGATATTACAATTTTTTACAACTTTTGCTTTAATTTTTCTATTTTTCTAAAAAAAAACGTTACTCTTCGGTGTCTAATATAACCGAAAACTGCAGTTCGAACACTATTGTGACCCTCACTTCTACCGTGACTTCAAACGAATTACGATACGTTTCTTACACGGCGTTTACATGAGACAATTTTCACAAAACAATAGCATCACATTCACACTTTTTCACTAAAAATGCCATTTAGCCTTCGTCGGGTTTCAGATCAACTTTGTTTAAATATGCCAAACAATTGGCAACACTGCTGCTTGTTCCTTAAAATTGTTGTTGCATTTGCTGGTTTGTTGAAAAAAAAAGTTGAGTGAAAAAGTACGAGATATCCCTGTGGCTACTCCTCTTTCAGATTGGCTGGCTGGACCGTGGACCAAAGAAACCGACAACAAAGAATTACTAGTATAACTATGTAATGAAGTTTTTAAGACTGACTAGGCATACATCCTACAGTTGTTTGATGGAAATATATAGTATTTTCTAATGTTTAATTGAAAAAACATATCTAGGGGATTTTTAATCTTACGTAAGATCTGCGGCGGGGGGAGGGGAATCAATTAAAGCTTACAATTTATTACGTGACGGGAGAGGGGGGGAGGGGAGGGGGGTTGAAAACAGGCGAAAACCCCCTTACGTAATATATTGGCAGCCCCTTACGTAATATACGTTACGAGTTAATACCCAGTGTCATTCGCTACGCTTGCAGGTATAGATGCTATTCGGAAGTTGCTTTATACGTATTCATTAGAATCAATTGTGCAACTAGATTCAATATCTGAGATTCCTGGCCCAAAAGTTTCGATACTAGTAGTTTATATATGGGCAAATCCTAGCGTAGCGGACGTTACGTTCGGACGCTTCTTTTGACTTTTTTGCCGAAAAAAAAAATTATCAGTTAATTTTTTTTTTTGGTATAAGGGAAGGTATACGTTGCTTTTGTTTGATAGGAACAGTAGAAAAAATTAAGCAAGATTACGAAAAATAAAACACTTAAACAGTCAGGAAAAATTTATCAATTTTTCTTACATCTAAGCGAAACACCAACGCACGAACAGCAAGAATCTTAACGTAGCTTGGACGAAAGTATTTGAATTTATAGAAAACAGAATAAACTCGACTGTCGAGCAAGAAACATTGATTTTTGTTAATTTTAATCGGCATCCCTACAATACAATTTTTCATGAATACAAAGTCCATTCAATATTCGAAAAGAAATTTGGGGCTTTTTTCGAGAAAAAACGCGGTTTTTCTAGGGTTTTAGTGCTGTTTTAAATTCAAAACTTGGCAACACTGTTTGAAAATCTTACTTGGTTTCTCTAGTGCCATTAATTTCCTGCAATATTCTATGAATTCCATACTAGACACGAAATGAAAATAATGCGTTCAGATTATCCGACCCTATATTATCCGGAACAACGTTCTTATGAATAAGTGAACAGAAAAATGTATTCCGAATGTACGGAATATGAATAAAGAAACTCTCGCCGTGTGTTAACATTATTTCGGTAATTTTCCTGTTAATGGACTCCTAAAAAAATCATTGGTAATCATCAAATTATTTCGTCAAAAGAGGTATCAAATATACGCATTTCAAAACCTCAGTATTACGAATCCGGGAACGGAAAATAACTTTTCTTTAATATTTCAAAAGTTGTCTGTAGAAACTACATTCCGAACATTATTTACGATGTTAACGCCTGGCGGCACCTTGAAATCATAAAAACTAGCCACTTTTCTCAAAACTTGTTATGAGTACCAATAATTAAAATAATTATGATTTAAGCGAATACCTTCCACTTTTGGATCGTAAATGTCTTCTTCTTCGTGCCCGAAACAACCTTGACCTTCAATTTGAAATAACAACTGTTGTTTGTTTACATCCGAAAGCAAATTTTGTAAAACACAAAAATGAAAACTAGCACTAAAATTTCAGAAATGTAGGTATTAGTTAATTTTATTAGCCATATAAGACAAATACACATAAAATCATTGTTTAGAGCAGATTCGTTGATTACGGGCACGAAATGTGTTTTCTTGCGCTCCTCACGCTCTGGTCACTTTTGGAGCGTGTATACACATTTTTGACACTTGTGATTTTATTTACGCTACGTCCATAAACCTAGCTGACCCAAGTTGCCAAAAATCAATAAAAATTAGCTAGGAATTAGGTGTCTTTTAGTTGTAATTAGGGCCTCCAAAATTAATTTAGGTGTTCCATTGGTTTCCGAGAAATTCGCAAAAATGTGTGGGTCAGCTAGGTTTACGTAAACCTAGCTGACCCATCGTTAAATTATGGTTTTAAATTTTTCAAATATATGCTGGAATTAGGTGTATTTTAGGTGTTCTTCAACGCCACTAAAACTAATTTAGTAGCTCCATTGGTTTCCGAGAAATTCGCAAAAATGTGTGGGTCAACTAGGTTTACGTAAACCTAGCTGACCCATCGTTAAATTTTGGTTTTAAATTTTCCAAACATATGCTGGAATTAGATTTCTTTCCGAGAAATTCGCAAAAATGTGTGTTTTCAGCTAGCTTAGCGCTGTTAACCTAGCTGAACAATCTTTAATTTTATTTTTTAAATTATCGAAATACATATATGCAGGAATTAGGTGTCTCTTAGGTGTTCTTCAACGCCACTAAAACTAATTTAGTAACTCCATTGGTTTCCGAGAAATTCGCAAAAATGTGTGGGTCAGCTAGGTTTACGTAAACCTAGAATTCCCGGGAACCAATGGAGCTACTAAATTAGTTTTAGTGGCGTTGAAGAACACCTAAAAGACGCCTAAAAGTTACTAATTTTTAATAATGTTTTTTTTTAGCACTTTAGTTAAAAAATTGGAACATTGTATTTAAGAAGGAGTAATTTTGCTGCCTTTTCGGGTTATAGCCTGATTCCTAACGGGTCGTAAATCAAACCTGCGCCACTAAATAACTATACGCTCGAGGCGACAAACTTGAAACTTGACAAAATTGTAAATTCTTTTCGATTGACGCTGCACCAGTTGAGAGGACAATCAGTTATGTCTCTTTTTTTAATTGCGGTGCAACAGTTCGTTTTTGGGAATTGCATGGGGGCTGCAAATGTCGGATGTATCCTCCCGACTTTCATTTTTGCGACACACATTTTTGCGAATTTCTCGGAAACCAATGGAACACCTAAATTAATTTTGGAGGTCCTAATAAACACCTAAAAGACACCTAATTCCTAGCTAATTTTTATTGATTTTTGGCGACTTGGGTCAGCTAGGTTTATGGACGTATTTACGCTATAATTACCGAAACAGCCCGGAAAGCGTGTGGAACAAATCTAATATCTCGGCTAAGCTATTACCCACAGTGTTATGTGCGCGCCGAAGTTAAGTTTAGTAAACTGTGTTTGTGTTTTCCAAAAAAAAATTTTAAAAAAGCGCAATAAACCCATAATGACTTTATTTCCATTTCTAGTAGGAAATAAACTATGCGGAATGAAATGTGAACTATTTCTAAGCAGACTTTAAAAAATTCTGGTAAACACAGGAGCCAAACTACGTATACCAAAATCTACTGTGCATCCTTAACAAGCACTAAAGATAACCTCATTGTATATTAGAATCCTGAAATTTCTTTGAAAGCAAACGTACTCTGAAAATTGAAATACTCTGAAAATGAAATACTCTGAAAATGAAAAAAAACGTGCTTTTTCATTTTTTCTCTATGAGAGCTTTATAGAATAGAAGGAAAACTCACGAGTGCGAAAAAACATGTTTCACATAAGCAGCGAAATTAGACCGTAACAAGATCATAAATTGCTTAAACTCTCTGCAAAATCACAGCGTATAACGACAATAAAGTACAAAGTAAGCAAAATAATATGTGCAAACCACGTTACCCAAGATTCGCAAAGCAAAGAAGCTTTCCCAAAATTTGCTTGTACCACATTCATTTCAGTTTTGTACAACGGACTAGGGCAATATTTTTCATTGGGGACCCATAAAAGAACACCTAAATATAACTTTGAATTGTTTATCATCTAAATGTCTAAAAAAATAATAACTTAAATTGGCACAATAAAGACCCAAAGTAATATTTCCTCGCCCTATATTAGCCCTCGCCGAGGCACGTCAGGAGGCATCTATATGAACTGACGGCGAAGTCCAGAGTCATTAAGCAACCCCTGGACCCGTCAGCTCACAGACAGGCCCTGAACGGCATTCACAGGGACGCAGTCTCGTGTTATGTAGACTTAAGACCTATGAATGCCGTTTTAGGCACACAAAAACCGGACATTGACGCGACGGAGCTCCAGCTGCCTCGGGAGACCAGGACAACAATAGCTCAACTTCGCTCTGGCTACTGCAGCAGGCTAAATTCCTACCTGAGTAGGTTAAATGCGGATGTGCCAAACGAATGTCCGGCATGCGGAGAGACCCCTCACGACTCGAAACATCTCTTCGCATGCCCGGAAAACCCTAGAGGCTGCACGCTTCTTGGGGCTGCCGTTAGTCGAACTCGACGACAACGACTGAGATATCAGCCGATCTGGGCGGGGTTGTTGTAGCCGCTACAACAAGAACCAGCAACTTCGCCTCTGGTGTGAGTAAGCTTTGGTCAACCGTGAGTTGAAATAAATTTTGGCGACCACGATTCTTCGGACCCGGAGCGATGCGCGAGCTATTTTAGTTCA